CACATTGAGCTCTACTCTGTGTGAGGTACACCAGAAGCATACAACACATTGATTAGTTCCTAATTTAGTGTTATTTATGGCACTTTTCAAAATTCGCACATTAATTTAGATCCAAATATTTAGAACTGAATGTTTTCTGTCAAGAGGCAAGTATTGATTGTTGCATGAGTCCTGATGAAAACAGAGCTCGGATCTTATAGACACTGCCAAGATTGCTGGGAAGACTTGATGACTAAGTGATTGTAGGTTAATATTTATAGCAGTTTCCATTTATGAAGCACAGCCATATGTTTGAGTTAAATGATTCTGAAAATTGAAAAAATAATTATCTAACACATATTCGATCCTTTGCTATGCCATGGTTGCTTTAAATTAAACTATAATGAGCTCCAATGCGTGTCACCTGAAGCAAGACGGACTCAGTAAACAGAGACGTGAGAAGATGCCAGACCCTGTCTCACTCTTCCGTGGCGCGGCTCAGCCAGATGCACGTGTGCCAGCTTAGAGATGCCACCTTTCCCTCGTCCTTTCCTTTGGTAAGACAAGACTTCTCTGTGGCAAACCATTTGGAGGTAGATGCCATGAAACCAAAGTTTAGATGCCAATGGGGTTCTGGCAAATTCCGTTTTGTAGTATCTTTGAAGAAGCAGTGATCCTCCGTGGGGTTTCCTACTAAGGGAAAGGAAAACAGTCCCTGATCTCAGCAAGGAAATAGAAAAGAGCCTTTAATTCATTAACAGAAAATCTTACTTATTTATCCAAATGGACATTTATTAATGAGCAAGTACTATATCGTTTGGAGTTCTAGTAGCATTCTTGGGTGAGCATTAGACTGCTAACAGAAACGGGAGTAGTTCAGACCCACCGGTGAGCTGAGGGAGAAAGACTAGACAACCTACTTCCATAAGGAGTCCCCCCCTCCCACGCCCTCTGTAGACCCGTATGTGCTGGAAGTGAGTTTAGGGTAGTGGGCAATAAGGGACAGGTAACTAAAGGACTGCAAGAGCATCGGAAACCCAGTCTACATGGAATCCTAAGGAGCCAGGCTAAAGCAAACTCAGTGTCACGCAATCGACCCTGAGTCACAGTGAACTTACCCGACAGGTAGAACTGTGCCCTTGGGGTTCCAGACGGTCACGTGTAGCAAGAATCGAAAGCCTATTCATTCTCCCATGGAGAGTGACTGCTGAGTGGCTGGTGGTTTCAAAGAGTAAACAGACCTGGGGTCAGCAGCACAATGTGTCAGCACTACTTACAGGGCTGGCATATGGGAGTACGCACTGAACTGTTAACCTGAGGTCAGCAGTTCCAACCCACTAGCCACTCCATGAGAGAAAGATAAGGCTGTCTATGTCCACAAAGATGCACAGTCTTGGAAAGCCAAAGGGGAAATCCTGCGCTATAGGGTTGCTATAAATCAGAATTTTAAAAAGAGAGAGAAGAGAAATAAAATATTTTAGTTGCTCTGTGCAATATTATTCCCATCATAGCATAATTGAATAGGATGTTTGGAAAAGGTAGTAATTTACTTGGTGACTACTAGACTATGATAGATCATTCAAAATCACTGCCATCGAGTGCCTGGTGGACTTGAACTACTGACCTTCCAGTTTGTACCCACTGCACCACCAGGGCTTCTCAGAACATGACAGATAGAAAGGTAGGTAGGTATCTAGATAAAGATAATTTCTGTCTGGCACAGAGGGTTTGTGCTCAAATATTTAGCTAAAGGTAGGTGGTTCAAACACTCTCAGGGATGCCATAAGAGAAAGATGTGTGGATCAGCTTCTGTGACAATGACAGTGAGGAGAACCGTGTGGAGCCGTCCGGCTCTGGAACACACGGGGCCAGAGTGCTAGAGAGAGCAATAGGCATGACCCTAGAGACAGATGTCATTTTTAAAGTAATTTTTTTCATTCGACTGAAAAAAGAAGTTAGCCTCAAATCCATCCACTCTGACTTTGTGGAAATCATTTTGTGGCTATGATAGAGTCCGCCCATATAGGACTCTGCAGTGTGTGTGCTGCATTTAAGCGGAAGGATAATTAAACTGATGTCTATTTCATTGGACTTTATGGCGAAGCTCCTCAATTAAAACTAAGAAACGGAGAGAATGTGGAAATAGTCTCAATCCATTTTGAGCATAAAAAGCACATTTGCAGCTTTCTTCCATTAAAAATAAAATATACCAGTGCTAAAAAATGCCTTTAATGGTAATAGTACAATCTAATTCTTTAGGTATAGTCCTTTAAAATTCTCAGTTATGGTGAGAATGTTCTGTTTTATCTCTTAACGCTAGGTTTAACCTGACTATTCATACTACCATATCTTGCTTATAGGGAAATCTCTGTGTCACAGTAGAATAGGGTGCTGAGTCCAGATGTGCTACAACTAAGTCAGGGAGATAAATGTCCCCTGAACCTGTGGTTCATAATATCATTGTCCTTGGAGGGATTGGGAGCTCCATGAACCCCCTGGAACAGAATATGTAAGCATTACCCCAGGAATCTTCTTATATCATGGTTTCCTCTCTCCAACCTCATAAACATGCTATAATATTTCTCATTTTAACGATGCTACTACAAGAACAACAACAAGCATTATGATTGTGGCCCCTCATCAAATATAGCTCCACCTCTCTCATTCACTGTGCAGCAGACTCCATTCATTGCCCTCAAATTCTCTCTCCCCATTGTGTCCTGTCTTAGTGGCACTCTACTGATACTTCTTGAAAGTCACCAATGCCATTAGCATACCGAGAGTCACTTCTTTGCTTTCATTTTACATGGCCGATTGGCAACATTTGCCGTGCATTGCTTTACGGTCCTTGAAAGATGAAAGCCAGTCCTGGACGACATCCAGTACGGTACCCTTCTCTGGTTCTCGAGCTCCCTCTGCCATGCCCTCCTCGGGCTCCTTTGCTGTTTTTCATCATCTCCACATGTATTTCCCGTTCCTTTAAACGTTGGCTCACTTACTTGGTGATCCGTTCCGTGCCATCGTTTTGAATGTGTTTAATCCTCTGTTATGCTCCCAAGTTCCCATTCAGAATTTCACCTCTTTGAGATCAGATTGAGCTATCCAACTATCTACATCTCTGAGAAGTGGAGGGGCCAACTCAAATTTGATGGGCTTAAACTTGAGCTACATATCTGTTATTTTCTAGTTGCCTCTTCTGCTTTTTTGGTGGCATATATTTCCTTCTTTTCCACCTCTTGCCATCTCAGAAAATGATATTTCTATTTGTTCACTTTCCCACACCAAAAGGTTGAAAGCATCCTGAATGCCTCATTTTCTCATATTCGCAGTAAACATCAAGCATATATTACTCTTTCTACCATTGTATATGTGAATATTAATATATGTTCAGTATCCAGCTACATTTTCCTATCCCTGCCTTGGTATCCCCACCGTAAGATTAGCCCCTTGGTACAAAAGACCATCATCTTTTTCTTGAACTATTTCAATAGGCTCTTTCCTCATTTCCCTGTTTCCACTCTGGACTCTTCGACTTTGACCATAGCAAAGGAAGTTACATAAATTAAGTCATTTCACTTCTCTGCTCAGAAACTTCCAATGACTTCCCATCTCAATCAGAGTAAAAGCCCAATTTTGGAATACTTAACCTTTAGATAATATAATAAGCTAGTATAATTCTAATCTCTTACAAACATCAAAAGGACAAGAATATTTGAAAGCTAAAATGGTTTTTGAATTTGAGGAGAGCATAACTCTAAAATTTAATTATAAATTGATGAAAATCAGGTGCAACATATACGACATTTTATTTCGATCACTTCTCCCATCACATCTTGAGGAATATCCTTGGTTCTTTTGAGCAATTTTCATAAAATTAAAATGAACATTACAGCACTCTGGAACCACTGGATCTATATTGGCTTGCATTTCCCTTTATTATTTAAACTCTCATTTCACAAACTTTATACAGATTCCTAAGGAAGACTTATAGCAAAACACCAAGGGCACTGCATCAAGTCAATGCTGAATCACAGCGGCCCCCTGTGGGCTTCAGGCATTCTATTTACAGGAGTAGAGAATCCAGCCTCTCCTCCGTGGAGCTGCTGATGGTTTTGAACTGCCGACTTCGCAGAGAGCAGCCCAACGTGTAGATTTCAGTTTTGCCTAATTCCATTCATAGAACTTACTAGTAGGTCAAAATTTGTTTATTTGTTTGTTTCTGGTACTGGAATCTACAGGAATACACCTAATTGGATCTAGTTAGAGCTTTATATGATCACTACCCTGACAACTCTAGATACTTCCCCCTTGTATTATTAATTATAATCAATGGACCTAACTCTAGCCACTGAACACTTGTCTTAAATTTGTCATACTATTGTGGCTTGTGTGTCGTTATGATGCTGGAGAAGGATGTATTTTATAAAGTACCAGGGCATCAAAAAAGAGGAATGTCTTGGAAGAGATGGAATGGCACAGGGGCTGCATCAATGGGTTCAAGCACAGGAACAATTGTGCAGCTGGCACAGGACTGGGAAGCATTTCATTCGGTTGTGTCTGGGGTTTCTATGGGTTGGATCCAACTTGACAACACCTAAGTATAATAATGAAGTAGCCACAGCTACTTTATTCAAGCTGGAGAATTGGCTGTTTTTCTGATAGTTTGCAGTGCCAGTTTCTCCATAATATTGGCTAGAATAATATGGGCTAACAATAATATCTTCAATTTTGGAACATCAACAATTCATGGTTTGTATTGTAAAGCATACAATAATTACATGTCAATACAATATATGTAAATACAATAACATGTAAACCATGTGCTGTGGATGACATGGCTCTAGTCTAGTGAATTATTTGTTCTCTGTATTGAACTCTTATCTAAAATATAATGTACTAAAATATATTGTACTCAATAGAAAGTTATTTCTTGGTAGCCCTTAAGTGTAAAAATGTTCAACATAATTTCTTTTAAATTAAACATGCATATAAAACTCTCTTCCGCTTTAAATTATTTTCAGCAAGCTCTATTGCCAAGATCGGCTCCGATCCTCTAAAACTTGTACATGACGCTGTGGAGGGAACCACAGACTGGGTCTACGGCTTCTTTTCTTTGTTGTCTGACATCATCTCATCTGATGGTGATGAAGAAGATGATGCTGAGGATGGGGACGAGGACACCGAGAAAGGTAACATGCACATAGAGAATGACCTAACTGATAAAATAAATAACAAATATCTGTTAGAGTGACTTACTCATGTTTAAGCAAATGACCAGGGTGCTGAACTGAGTAAATTGGTCTCTTATCTTTTGCCTTATAGTTTATCTGCCATTAAGGCAGAGTTATCAAAATGAAATGCTACAGTTAGCGTACTGTGGAGTGGGCCTTATTATGTATTATTATTATACCACAAAGACATTTATATTTGGAGGGTTTTTGAGGAAAAAAAATACTTTCTCAAGTTTAATTCCCTAGAAATATGAAAATAACAACATAACAGCAACTATACATATATATCCATATATTTGCATATGTATAAGTCATATTCCAATTCAAGTAACAGAAAGTGAGAATGCTACTATCACAATCACAATTAAAATTATTTAACTAAATGCAAGTATAGAATGAAATAATACATTATAAATGTCGCAATAATTACACAACTGACCTATGTGTTTTTATATACCTATTAATGAATAGAAAGAAGTAATAAACCCAATTCACTGTCAATGAGTGGATGTAAAAATTAAAAAATATATATATGTTGTGATTCTGTCTTCTAGAATACATATTTTATGATTAGTCTATCAGAAATCATATGCTCAGTGAGATTACCGGGAAAGCTCTGAGCATCATAAACCATTCTACTATGACTGAATTTTTATTTGTTTGGCCTCACTTGAGAGGTCAAGATGAGTAATAGAGAATGAAATTGAAGATGATATTTGACCCATAATATATACTTTGGAGCATTGCCGCACTTGTTGGCTCATAAAAGTGACATTATCTCAACTAGGAGTACATAAACAAAGTTTATATTTAAGATCTGGAATTTGGGAAGTAAAGTAAGATGAAGACTAAGCTTGCCAAAACTAAAAATTTCAAAAAGGATATAGACATGGGAAAATAGAGATATAATGTTTGTGAACTTGTTTTGGCTTTTTTTCTTTCTAATTTTCTGTTTTCACCTTGGTTTAGGAGAAATAGAAGAACCGCCCTTGAGAAGCAAAGGTTAGTTATGTTCATCTTTGACGAAAACGGTTTTTCTCCTATAATAATGTTCATTTTCAGCATTACTGAAATGAATTACAATTGAGTTATGCCCATGTATTTAAAGCAGAGTATTTGCTTAACTATTAGATGAAAATGTATTGTTCGGAGGAAAAACGCACACATATGCAGACTTGGTTCCTTCAGATGAAGTTGATTTGGCTATTTTTCTTGGCAAGACCAACAGCCTATTCACTAAAATACCGTTTTTCCGTATCATGAATGGTGACTTTAACTGTGTACCTCAGCAGATGAAATGCACAGAGATTGCCTTTATCTGTTGAAAGAGATCATGGCGAAGTCAAATGTCATCAATTGAACCAAAGCCAGGGACCAATATGGACTAGACTATCAATTATTCATATGCACATACAAGTGGAAGTAGAAAAAGAATAAAACAATTCCATGAGAACGAAAGTATGAACTTAAACTTCCCATTTGAACATAGAAATCATCTCAAGAATAGCTCTGACACAGTGAACACAAATTGCTGAAGATACAAAGAGTTGTAGGATGAGATCATGGACATCATACATGACACAAGCACATGTGTTTCTTCTTTTTTTAATAAAAAGAAGAAAAGGTCTAAATCAGCAGTTCTCAATCTCTGGGTCATGACCCCTTTGGGGGGTGTCAAACGACCTTTTCACAGGGGTCACCCGATTCATAACAGTACCAAAATGACAGTTATGAAGTAGCAACGAAAATAATTTTATGCTTGGGGGGGTCACCTAGGAAGGTTGAGAACTACTGGTCTAAATAGATGTTAGAAGTGCTGCAGAGATTATTCTTGAACATACAGTAAGGTGGATGGAAGAAATGATGATGTAAACCACAAAACATTTAAAAAGGTAGCATGAGAAGAAAAAAATAAGTATTATTATGAAATGTACAAAGATCTGACCTTCGAAAACCAAGTGGCAATATTGAAGGATTATATGGGAAAATATTGAACAACACAAAACATCAAAAGATGGAACTAATACACAGAGTCCCCCCAAAATTAAGTTGACTTTCAACCATTTTAGGAGGTAACGTGATTAAACAAACAAACAAAACTGATGGTACTGAATAATGAAGAGCAAGCTGCACTGAAGGTATGGATAAAAAACAAGGCTCTTGGAATTGGTTGAGTACCGATTGATATGTTTTATTAAAAGGACACAATGCTGAATATTCTCACTAATGTATGAAAAAAATTAGAAAATAGTTACCTAGCCAAAGAACCTGAAGAGATCTATATTTTCACCCATTGCAAAGAAAGTCAATTTAAAAGAATACTATTAATAGCACATGCAAGTAAACTTATACTGAAAAGATTTCCAAACATGTCTGACAGTCTAATGACAAAGAAACTTAAGGCATTTAAGTTGGACTCAGAAATGGTCCTGGATTGAAGGACATCATTGCTGATGCCAGATAAAACTTAGTTCAAAGCACAGAATACCAGAAAGATGTTTGTCTGTCTTTTGTTGACTATTCAGAGGCAGTAAACGATGTTGGCTATAATTAATTATGAATAAAGCTTTGAATAAGAGGAATTCAAGAACATTTGATTGTGTTCACGTGTAAACCTATATATAGACCAAGAGACAGTTGTTTCAAAAGAACCAGGGGATATGCTTTAAAACCAGGAAAGGTCTGTGCCAGCGTTGTAAATCTTCACCATATTTATTCAGTTTGCACACAGAGCAAGAAGGAGCCCCCAGGGTGCAGTGGTTATGCACGGGGCTGCAAACCAGATGGCTGGTAGTTGGAAATCACCACCAGCTCTGTGGGAGAAAGACTGGCTATTTCTATGTCCATAACCAGCTACAATCTTGGAAAACCATAGGGGGTGGGGAGTCACTATGAATCAGCATTGGCTCGATGGCAGTGAGTTTGTTTGGTAAAATAAATCACTTGACGACTAGAATGTATCTACTTCAAGTCATTGGATGTTCAGTCACCCCACAGGCATGCGAAAGGTGGACAATGAATAAAGAAGCTTAAATATAAAAAATCCTTCCTTAATAGTCCATGTTGTCCTGTGCCACTTTGTTAATATGGAGAATAAAAATATATTTAGGTGATTAAATCAATTCTGTTCCTACTTTCTCGTATATAATCCTTCAAGAGAGTACAGTACACTGTGTCTAAACACATGTTTTTTAAATGAGTCCTCTAATGAGCATTACTGTCATTTATTTAAAGACCACTTTAAACAACCATGACAATACTTCTTTTGTGGATTTGATAAAGAAAGGCAACCCGGCATTTATGAAGCAATAGATAGTGAAACAACTTTATGGAAAATTTAATTTATGCTAATCTATACAAGAAAAGTTAATTTAAAAATAATGCCAGAGGGAAATTCAAGTCAAAAGAAAACAAATTACACTTTATTAGATACAAGATACACATTTTTGGAAAATATGATTTTCTGATATTCTTGTGGAATCAATTTGTAAGTGAAAAGCATTACCTATTTTTCCCGTCTTTTCTAACTGAAATAAGCAGACAAACCTGCTATTAATTCTAGATAATGACTAGTAGCTCATGACCTTAAAATCTATGTTTGAGGAGCTACATTTGTAAAAACAAGGAGATTATGATCATCTCTGAACCAAAATGCATTGACTGCATCCCGAAATCATGCCTCGGGAAACCCCTACGTTTCTCCCCAATATATTTATAAATATATTCATTTCTGGATAGTGTTGTTGAATTTAGTTATTCCTAGGTTTATTTCTTTATATGCTACACAAAGTATATATATATATATATATATATATATATATATTTTTTTTTTTCTAATGCATATCTTATAAATTCTTGGATTTTACTCCATGTGGTGTGGAGAGAGGGCAGCATCTGCTTAGGTAAAGTTGAAAATTTGTGTTCTATTGTTTGTAAAGAAATTTTGAAAAGAAAAGAAAACACTATTTTTAAAAGATTTAAGAATTTTTTAAACACTAGGAAAGTTACAATATACACATGGCTAAGAAAATCCAACTTGTAGTACCTTGTGACTTTCTATTCTTTATCCACATGTCAAATCTTAAAAATACTAAATACTGTCACCAAACACTCCATGAGCAGGGATTAGGGCACTGAACACTTAAGTATACATAATTTAAAACGTGATATTTTCCAAAATTCTATTTTATCTTTAAATGATAAATATGAAAAACAATCTCCATTGTAAACCACATTTGTGAGAAAAATTCTGTGCTTGGGACTATAGTGAGGAGCAACCCTTTCAAAGGGCGTTCTCCACATCAGGGCACACATCCTGAATATGAAACGCTTCCTTTTCTAAGGAGGGCCAAGCACAGGTCATTTTAAAGGAATCAAATCAGACCTTTCCTTAAAGGGATCTGCCCAAGAGCACAACTGAGTTTGCAATAGAACTACTTCCGTTTTCAAAATAAAGGAAAACACCTTCACCTGTCCCTAACTTGTTAGAGTGCCAACCAAGCTAACACTAGGGGAGTGGACCTTCCTGCGCTGTCTAATGCATATGTGTGCTTAAGGGAGGAGCTCAGTGTCAGCGTCTGGTGCTTTGTATTGTTGTGAGATTTCAAATGGGAGAACAGAATGGCGAGAGCTGTGGCAAGTTCCACTGGATGACACTGCCCTCTATCCAGCTGAATACTGTGGAAGACGTGGCTTTTGAGGGAGAATCCCAGGTCAGCATAGCAAAAAGAACTTCAGCAGGCAATTCTTAAAGCTAAAAATGGCTTTTAAAAAATTGATTGTAAGCAAGATATTCTTCACTTGTTTTCAAAATGTGTGTTTAGGGAGGTGTCATTGACTTTAAAGAAAGTTCAGTGAAACAACTAGATCCCTGTATGTTGGTGACATTGAACTTGGAAATATAACTAGGATGCTATCGAAAACAGCTAAGCTTTTAAAAATGCATTAAGTAAGCCCATGGCTGTCACACTTGGTGATTTCTTTCAGATGAATTTTGTATTGTTCAGTAACAAATTTAAAATCCACCCTATCAAATTGTATCATAAAAGAGTTCATGGAATTATAGTCAGAATTTAATCTAATATATAATGCTGGCTGATTTCAACTTCCTATAGATAAAAAGTAAATTATATACTACTGTGGAATCAATTTTCTCAGTTTGTATGCATGTATAATATATAAATATATACTCACTTAATTATGTATAACTATTATATATATTATATCATTTACTAACACAAAATAAACTATATTAGCTGTTGGATTCATATGTATATACATAGACACAGTATATATATATCTACAATTTTTTGCTTAATGTCTTATAAAATTATATCAAAATGGATGAGATTATTGAAGTTATTTCATTGATATTTGATTCTCATTTAGTTACTTCTCAATGTATAACATGAGAGTTTTATATTTCCTAGTGATAACACATTGGGCTGCAATCCAAAAGTTCAGCAGTTCAATATCACCAGCTGCTCGGAGGGAGAAGTGCAAGGATTTCTACTCTTGTAAACAGTTACAGAAATTCACAGGGCAGTTCTGTCCTGTCGTATCGGGTCTCTATGAGTCAGCATCTACTGTATAGCAGTGAGAGATTTGGCTGGTTTGGTTTTATCACATATTGAAGGAATACTAAGATTTTGCCATACTTACAGGTTCAAATACAGCTTAAAATGTATTTACATATTAGATGACATAAATGTAAATAAAATAATTCAGAACTGAATATTGACTTGCTTATATTTTATAATAAAGATAAGCTTATTTTATTAAATCCATTCAATGTTTAAGTTTTCATGTACGTTTTATAACCCATATGATAAGTATTTATTATAATTTGCTGTTTTCTTAGTAGCTTCTTTAAATACAACCTAAATTTTAATTTAATTATGCAATATATCTGTATATTTCTTAGCGAACAATGTTTTATTTAGATGAGAGGCTTCAAAACAAATTTTAGCCATGCTATTAGCTTATATGGAAAACGTTTTCCA